GCCTACAAACATCCGGAGTAAATAATAGATGTAGGAAGCTGGGAATTTTTTTCTACTATGTATCTAAGATCTCAGGCTAAGAAAGCCTTATCCTTCAGTTCAGGTGAGAGACGGCACCATCCACACCTCAGGATGGCCCTAACAGTTTACTTTTTCACAACAACTAACAAAATAAAAACCACAGCTTAGACATGCTACATTCCTTGTCACAGACACGACATATTCTATTTGAAACTTGGCCTGGCTATGCTTTAAACTCAATGCCAGATTTCAATGATTTGTGAAGGTTTAGAACAGAGAAACAAATATAAAAGCAGACTTTATACCTCTCCATCACAAGAATATAATTACTCCATTTAACAGGAAGTTAGGACTAAATGAGCCCAGCTGAAATCCGCGGGGAGCAGACTTCTGAAGTCCTGAATTAGAAAACGAGTAATGCTATGCCCTAGGGTTGGAGAGACAGACAGACATTGTCTATTTTCAGGAGTCCAACATGCCCAACTTCTGTTGACACAAAAACGAAGTGTGTGACGATCACCTGTGAAGGTGATGACATAACCCTGGATTTGTCAGCAACTGTTCAAGATTCCCTCTGCGTACTTTAGCTCGCCCACTTTTCATGGCAACGTTCCTACCATTATCACAAGTAGCATCATGTCACAAGGACAAACTAATTTCTTTCATGTAAATGGAAAACATGTTTGCTCTGCGACATTTCCATCAATGTCAGTGACACATGAGGAAAGCCTCCCCCCCCCCCTTTGCTTCCAGGCAGAAAGGGGAAGCGAACTGTCATTTCACATTCGGCTTGAATTCTTGCCCTGCCATATTTTTTTTTTCTTTTTGACTCACTTACCTTTGCCAAAAGACTAACTCATTCTACATCTAAGATAAGTTGCCAGAAAAGAGGCAGCCATGTCACTGACTTGATGAGTTGGTTCTCTGTACTGTCAGTCATAGAAGTAAATCATCGGGGTGGGGGCTGCAGGGTTGGGGGCCGCCTTTCCACCACGGGTAGACGGGAAAGTACTCTATCTACCACAGCTCACATTTTCGTGCTTCTCAAGACCCCTTCCGTGGTCTTGGCCTCCATAACTTTACAATGAGAGTCTAACCAGCTGTTCTGACAGTCACTGCTAATGTTCTTTGAGTTAAAGATGCGATTCAGCAGCTACTGTTGTCTTTGGTTTTAGCCTGCACCAAGCATCTGGTTCTTTGAAAGAAAAGAACTTGAATGTATACATTTTCTTCTCCTATCCCAGCTTTGGAATGAATAAGGTTTTGTGTCTGAGAGTAGCCGACAGTGAGAGAAAGTACTCAGCAGATGGCATCTGCCTGCTCATTTTCATCCTCCTCCTGGTGTGGCTGTACTCACAGTTCTTGGTCATTACAAGTTACCAAATGATAAATAGCAACATTGTCTTACAAAGGAGAATCTGCAAACATTTTTTCTTCAACCCTAGAAAGGTCACCATGACAAGCCCATAAACTGTGCTGATGATGGGAAAAAAACAAAACACAAAACAAACCCCACCACTACACCAAAAGAAAAAAAAACTCAGAAAGGTTTACAACCTAAGATTTCTCTAACTACAATGGGTATGAGTGTCCTCTACCAGCTGCAGGGATGGATGTTCAAACATCCAGATCAACTGCTGTACCTCCACTCTCTCTAACCCTCACTAAAGTGCCAGAATAACGTGTCTATCCGGAAGCCTTCTTAAACCACGTCTGTAAGATGCACCGATGCTTAAATGAAAGTCACAGGTACTTTGTAAATGTGTAGGCTGCAGAAATCAATTGAAATCTTGCATAGAGAGGTCTTGAGATTGATTTTTCTGGGACAGAACCAATTTGTGACTTTAGGAGATATACAAGATAGCAAGGAGGTTGAAAAAAATGGAGTATATAAAAAAAAAAATCACAGAGGTGTGGCAGTTGCTCTTCTGTACCAGATTAGTATCCTGCACTGTGGGATGGAGTGACCTCTGGAAACTGGAAACTACATCTTAAATGATGGTGCTTTTCAGGAGTGGCTAAAGGGGAAATGATTGAGCAACACTAGACAGCTTCTCTACTAGACCCAACTTGAAAAGGAGACTCTCTAAGCACAGAGAGGGGGTACTGTTAGAGTGTTCCCCACAATCCTGTCTTTAAATGTGGACCACTGTTTTTTTTTTTTTTTAATGTTGTCAGCCTGTTGACTCTTTTCTTTTTAAGGAAAAAAAATTATACTACTTTTCTTGAAACTTTCATACCATGTATTTTGACTCATTAGCACTTGGGAATTTTGAATTGTAGCAGGGAGTATATATCTCAGTGGTGGAGGGCTTGCCAAGTATATACAAAGGCCTAGAACAAACTCCAGTACTACATCAGAAAAGAATGGAAAACTATCAGAATTAATCTGTTCAATATAGAAACTTAACATCATCAAATGTTCTATGCCCTTCTGGGCATCTAGGCTCATATCAAGATATAAAGTCAATGTCCTGATCTTTCTCAAGGACGTAACAGCTTAGAGGGTTTGAAAAGGCAGCAAACAGACCCCAAAGCATATTCTCCCAGAAAGCTTTGTCTGGAAATTATTTTTGTGTCACTAAACAGTCTTACTTCCAAACTGTGGCTATCTTCACAAGAGTTTTTGAACCTTCTACTCGCTTTTTAAACTTGTTACAAGTTCATTTAAAAAGACTGCATTAATCAAGAAATTAAACAATACAAAGTCTAAACCTCCTTAAAAAAATCTGATATTTTCAATTCTTGACTCTTTTAATGAGGATGGAATATGCCCAAGTAGAAAATACAATTCTTAAATCTTGAGCAAGAGGTAGGGCACAAAAATTGAATTTTCAAGTTTGCAGAGATATGTGTATAATGTTAGTAAGGATTTTAAAGATGTTTCAGTAAGTTTAAAATTCTAAGTACAAAATTCCCTAAAAATTAAAAATAGGGAAGGCAGAAAAAAATCAACATGAAAGTAACATTGTATCATTTTGTTTGAATAATTTTTTCCTTGACATCATTAAAAGACAGAAAGTATTCATCACAAAACATAAGCTTTAAATGACATTTGCCTCATTGCCACTTCTCGTTGGCTTTTCTGTCAACTGGATACAAGTTAGAGTCAGACGTGAAGAAAGAGCCTCAGTTGAGAAAAAACTGCCATCAGGCTGCCTGTAGGAAACCGGTAGGGACATCTCCTTGTTTGGTGATTGATATAGAAGGGCCCAACTCATTGTGGGCAGCGCCACCCCTAAGCAGGTGGTCTTATGTTGTATTTAAAAAAGGAAGCTAAGTGAGCCATGGAGAGCAAGCCAATGAGCAGCATCCCTCGATGGCCTCTGCTTCTGCTCCTGCTTCGAGGTTCCTGCCTTGAGTCCCTGCCCTGACTTACCTTCATGATGGACATGATGGAATAGACTCTTAGGCTGAAAGAAACATTTTCCTCCCCAAGTTGCTTTTGGTAATGGCTTTTTTCCATAGGAACAGAAAGCCAGCAAACAATCCTGTAAAGCCTATGTGAAGTTGCAGGGCTCCATTGACTTGACTTAGTCTATTAACACTTTTAAGAAATAATTATGGGGTGTCTGCAGGTAAAGGCTCTTGCCACCAAGTCTGATGACCCAAGTTCAATCCCTGCAGCTCTTAGAATGGAAAGAAAGATCTTGCAAGTTGTCCTCTGACCTCCACACATGTACTGCACACATACAAACACACACAGACACACACACAGACACACACACACACACTACGACTATCACCACACTACAAATAAGTAAATATAACAAAAATTTTAAAGAAATAATTATGAGGGTTGGGATGTGGCTCAGTGAAAGTGCAGCTGTAGAGGGCTCTGGGTTCCAGCACTGATGTCACAAAAACAAAATAAAACAAAATAATAATAGTAATAATGTGTTTTCAAGTCTTGCCCTCGTTAATGGTTAGGTTTAAATGGGCAGAACTGTGAAAAAAATTCCCTGTATCAAAACTTCACTTTTGTGCATCTTTTTACAATGAATGTAACTAGAAAATAGGTGGGATAATGAATTCAAACGTATCTTAGGATACTCTATGTTCTTGCTCATCTTAACCTCCTTAGAAGAAGTATATATGTGGAGGCCATCTTTACTCTAGTACATGAATGCAGGCTTATATCTGAGCTCTGCCTTTGCCTTCAGAATTTCAGAACTTTCAGAGTCTCGATTTTGCAACACCATATTTTGAAAATATCTATTATTTTTATTATTATATTATACTTTACCCTATTATTATGCTTTATTACTACATTTTATTACTAAATTTATTTATTTATTTATTTATTAGTATGTGTATGCACATGTGTGTGGGCATGCATATAGAGATCAGAGAACAAATGCCAGGCACTGTTTCTCTCCTTCCACCAGTGGGCCCCAGGGATCTGACTAAGGTCATCAGGCTTGGTAGTATGATCCTTTACCTTAACTACTGAGCTATCTAACTGGCCTTTTCTCCTCCACTACCCTTCCTCCTTCTCCTGCCCCACCTCCACCCTATCCACTGTCCTGGTGTCCTAAAGATGTGCCTCAGGGGCAAAATATATGCCTAGCATTTGCAAGACTCTAGGTTTGATTCTCAAAACTGGGAGAAGAGACTACTCTAGGTGAGTACACTGTACTTGCTACAAATGGCTCACATGTTTCTCAAACCAAGAGGAAGCTGACGATGAAATGATTTTCAGTTGCTATCTGCTTACCTCTGATGAGACAAAATTCTGCCTTGTCTAGATCCATTCCATTAGAGATGTGAGCACACCATGACGACTAATTAAACAAAACGATACTTTTAAAATGCATTTGTATAATGAAGAACTTGGAAGCAGCTATAAGGCAGTGAATTTAAAAAAATAAATAAAAATAAATTTTTAAAAAAGGCAGTGAATCAAGCCGAAGCCCCCAAGAATAGGCCATCCAGATATAGTTTAGAGGAATACATGAAATACAGCTTCAGATACTCACGGGTAAATGATCAGGTGTGGACAGACTGACACTATCAAGACTCTCAGCACTGTAACAGCTAAAAACGTCATCATCTGATTCCTGCACAGAAGAGCAGGGTGAGGCGCTGTCAGCTTCTTCCAACGTCCCCTTTAAAATTCCACTCATAGCTGTCACATGGACCTGCAGAAGGAACGGGAGCCGAGCATTGAAATCTGTGCCCGCTGACTGCAGTCAAGGACTTGGAGTCATCTTAGGGTCTAGTGCTTTGAACCACACAGACTGCACTTCCTATGATGCTGGAAACCATTGCAAACAATTACACCCTGATTTGCTCATATTTTTTCTTCTCTTTCTGGCAATGATATGGGTAAGAAAGAGTTCAAATTGTGAGTGTGGAATCAGAAGTCTGCATTAGGAAATACGGCTTCCTGTTTCTGAATGCCGAAACACAAGTCAAATACATTTATTTGATTTGTTCTAGTAAATCGTGTACTGCCATTGACAGAGCCAGAGTTCAGAACAAAATGGATCACTTGCTTGCATGGCTGTCATACTGGGAGCATACTGATGAGGGTATGTCTGTCTTGCTGGGGATTTCTTTTTACTTAGGTACAAAGGCATCTACTTTCCTGGGGCTCTCTGTCCATCAAAAATCAAATTGGATGCTAGGAATGGCAATACCTGCAGAATTTAGATGCCTTATCATGTTTCCAGTCAATTCAGCAGAGCCACGGGGAATACTCAAGGCCTGTGCCAAGGATAGCTGAATAGATTTTACACATGACAGACTACAGTACCTAAATCTTTTTGCTGGATAAAACATTAATTTAAACTTCTTCACTCTTTTGTGGCAGCATAGACAGGAAGAGCCATTCAGGTGCAGGTGGATTCACAATTTAAAAAAAAAATTGTTAATGTCAAGTTTGAGGAATCATTAAACCTCCGAGAGTAACAAATTTCTCTGCATCTATAGAGAAGCTGCAAGTAATCGGGGGTCATAAACACAAATAATGACAGTGGCAGACCTTCAGGAGGGACTAGGGTTGGCTGTGATAAAATTGTGCAGCCCCCTAGTTGTCTGTCTCATGTGCTGTGTATAACAATGCTACCAAGAAATATGCCCTTTCTTAGGAGGAACAATACATAACTATAATAATAAAAAGCCTCTCGATCAGGTAGATGGTAGGTGGTGGGTACTGTGATATGATAGATGAGAGACCACAGTCTCTGGTCTACAAGACAGACGCCTACTTGGGGCTAGGTCAGTTTGGCTACATTGTTTCACAGTTTAACCTACTCTAACCCAACCAGTGCCTTGTTTACATAGCCAGAAATGGTCCTTTACTGTGCTAGATTTCATACTCCATATCTGCTTAGCACCTATTGATTTTCTTTGCAAAGCTAAAGAAGCAATTTTCAAATTGCCTTGCAATTTGAAATGCAAATTGCACTGAGTCAACTACACAGAAGAGAATAGTCAGCATCAGTGACTTGGATGGCTAACTGACTGGGGTGCTAAAGCCTTGTCTTCCCCATCAACACAGTTCACAAATAAATGCCCTTAACCAGCCATGCATTGTTGAGTGAACCAATATCACAAAGAAACCCTGGTAGCATGAGCTACAAGGGAGGGGTTGTTGGTTTAAGTCAAACCTCAACATAGCAACTCAAGACATGGCTTCTGGTATGGAGGAAGTCTGATTTAGCTTTAAAAGGTCTACTTTGGGGGTTTAGCCCATGTCTTTCTGTCATCAGTGATCAGAATCATCGTCCTTTAATGTTGGTGACCACCATTTCTTGGAACATTTTTTGCTCTACAGCTGTATTCTCTGGTTCCCCAAGCTCCAGGCTAGCACATGTCTACGGCCTTCAGAAGACTCTCTCACCTCATCATCCCCAAGAATTGAGAGAGAAGGCCTTCAATGAACTCAATACACCTTGGTTTCTGGTATCAATTAGAGAAAGCCTAGAGTGTATAGTTGGATAGTTGAGTGGGAAAGGGGAGGGATGGAGAGAGAAGGGGAGAAGAGACAGGAACAAAAAAAGAGAGAGAAAGAGAAGATTTTTCACCGTCCTCTGTTTTCACCAACCTGGTCCGATTTTTTTGCAATCTAGCTACGTCACTGAAATCACCGTGTTATAATTACTTTTATGGCAATGGAAGAAGAACCTTACAGGAGGAATGAGGCTGTGGGAGAGATCAGGATACTATCCCCACTCAGGAGACTGCAGTAATAGGGGGCAGGGAGCATCCTCCAAGCAGTTACTATGAGTGTTTTCAAAGAGTGTTTCTTACCTACAGCTAAATGAAAATCCTAGGCAGTATCTGAAATTCCCTATAACACAGAATTTTTGAGACCTCATCCAGAAGGGACAGTTAACAAACTCAGAAATGTAGATGGCTAGATTGGTATTTCCTCACACTGTCGCCTTTGCTGTGTAGCTGCTATCAATCTGATATGTCTGAGTACTCTTCAGGGTTCTTATCTTTTCTACATGAAAAATCTATGGGGCCTACTAAGTGTTTGAAATCTACCTACTCAGAATATAGTATTTACTCCTAATATAACTATAATCAGAGGTTCGTGATTGAAACACTTTTGTTCTGACGTTTGAACAATGTTAAAAATGTTTTTATCCTAACTTAACCCAAGGTGATAGTATCAAGAAGTATAGTTTTGAGGAAGTAATTACATCATAGAGGCTAATAAGCACTTTCCTACTGAGAATCCATTAACCCTGCCCAAATTCTCTCCCGTTCTGCTATGAGGTTACAGTGAACAAGGACTAGGAAGAAAGTCTCTCGGATATAGCATATGATAGGATCTTGATCCTGGGCTTTCATCCCCAGAATAGTGAGAAATATATTTCCTATTATTAATAATCCACCCAGTCCATGATATTTTGCTACAGTAGCCTGAATGAAATAAGATGTAGAATAGTCACAGTTTAGATTAAAATATTTAAAATGACAGTACAGTAATTATATATGTGCCCAGAGACTCAAAAAGAGAAGCAGATTACTGGAGTTAAGAGTAGAAAATTGTTAAGTCATTAATTTATATGATAAAGAAATGTTTTGGCTACTGACCCAGGAAAGATCGCTTAAAGAATAAAAAGGAAACAAACTCTAATTTACTATCCTGGGGAAAGAACTATGAAGAATGTTGCACAAGGTCCTGGGTGTCACTGCCACCACTACAAAATAACAGAAGACTTGATGTGCCAAGTCAGGTTGATACCCAGTGAGTGGCTTGCCTCTTCTTAGAGGAAGAGGAGGAGGTGTGGGGGGAGGTGCTGTGTGAGGGGGGCGCTAGGGAGAGAGGGGGAGCTTCCATAAGGTTGTAAAGTGAATAAATAAATGAGCAAAAAAGAACAAAGAGATAAGTCAGTGGACCTAGAAAGAGATGAAGGATAAAAATGAAGGTAGATTGATCAATTCTGGGGACATGAGTCAGGGCAGGTCAACCATAGATGAGAGATTCTGAAGATAGGGACATCTCTAAATGGGATAAAGATCAATTGGGGAGCTTAAAAGGTCTTGGGATTTTTTAAATTGTGGGTTTAGTCATAGAAGAAGAAGAGGCGGAAGAAACTAGGGGCTGGTTTTAGGGGCTGAGACAAGTAGCTAGCTCCAAAGGTGACAGAGAGCCAGATGGCAGCTGGGAAGAACACTTTTTACCCACATAACTGGTGACATCCAGATCCCCTAATTAAAAGCGCATCTCTGGGATTGGACTGTTAAGATCTGAGAGGTTACAACTGAAAAATAAAATCTTTAGAGGAAAAGATTCCCCAGAGGGGAAGTGCTCCTGCATTGGATACAGAGTACATTATGGTGGACTGTACCTCAGGCCAATGGGTAAACAATCTTAAAGAGAAAGTTTTTTCACTACGTAGTTCCAAGACTCACCAGAAGTTATCAGTTTGATGAAAAAAAAAAGGCTCATTGCTTCAAACACAGTTTTCCCCTCACAGTTTTTGTGGGGGGTTAATCTTCTTGAGTTTCTCACCTGTAACACAGAGTAGCTAGTTATATTACAGCATTAGACTATGCATCCGAGTGTTCTAAAGACTGATCATTCTACACCTCCCTGCCATTCATGGGTAGCATCTATTCCAAGATGTATCACAGAGCTGAAGAAGAAAAGGCACAGCGAAAGTTTTAACAGCTTGACCTCGTCTTTCCTGAGCACATCCTCTTAGGCTACCCTGCTTTCTTACCTCCACCAATGTTTTTCTTTTAACATTTGTTTGTTTAGTGTGTGTGTGTGTTTGTGTGTGTGTGTGTGTGTGTGTGTGTGAGAGAGAGAGAGAGAGAGAGAGATGCACACTTTCTATAACATATATATAAAGAAACGAGGGTAACCTGCAGGAGTTGGTTCTCTCTCTCCATCTACCATGTGGGTTCTGATATCAAACTCAGGTCATTATGTTTGGTGCCCAGAACCTTTACCAGTTGAGCTATGTAGCTGTCTTCCCTCTACCAGGTCAGGTCGCAAGTCATCAAGAAGTCCCTCATTAGACACAACCCTTTGATTTCTGCTCACCTACTTCCAGAACTGTAAGAAACCAACTGCTTTATAAATTTAATTTTTTTTGAAAAAACAAAATATCTGTTGAGAGTGAAACTGAACCAGATTATTCACACAAAGCAGGTTGATAAACTCGGACTGAGGGAGTAAGCTGCACTGCTTGCCTCCAGGGCCAGCACACGAATGACCACTGCAAAGAAGCTGTCGAGTCAAAGATGGAAATCTTCATTAAGACCACCTTCCTTCTTGTCGGTGGGCAAAGCATTATATGGGTCTGCCCCTATTTCAGTGACCAGTCTGCAAAAAGTACACCTCATGCTCTCAAAGAAGTCTCTCACCTGTTTTGACAACAGTTAATGGGAAATTGTCAGGGTATGTTTTTACATTAAGTCATCAGATTTTACCAAAGATCTAACCCACATTCCGGGAAAGGCCGTAAATGGGCTACCATGGCACACACAATTTTATAGGCTATCACCTCACCAACTGTGTCACAAAAACATCTCCTCCCATAACTAGGCATTTAATTTTTGTTTAGTATTTCGGGCTACATAGTATTTCACTGGCTAATTGTACTGTAAATATTTAACGAAACTTCTGAAAGAGCGTATGTTTCGAAGAAACATTTTCAGAGGATGCACATGT